TAGATAGATAGATAGATAGATAGATAGATAGATAGATAGATAGATAGATAGATAGATAGATAGATAGATAGATAGATAGATAGATAGATGATAGATAGATAGATAGATAGATAGATAGATAGATAGATAGATAGATAGATAGATAGATAGATAGATAGATAGATAGATAGATAGATAGATAGATAGATAGATAGATAGAACACACTTGTAAGGAATGGGCCCAGAGCCAATCCTGGGCTTATTTCAAAAGTGCACTGCAAAATTGCCGATGACAAATTTGTGGTCTTAGAGAGGACTTGAATTCTCACAGGTCAACTGACGAGCATTGCCAAAATGCAGCAACATATTCTAGCATGAAAAGGCTTCTCAATATGTGATGTCACCAGGAACTTGTCACTAATAGCGTTGTGATTTTGAATTAGCTGTGTTTGCCATTCAAGCATATCAACAGTGCACTGCCTGAGGGATTTAGTGGGTGATATATCACAAAAAGCCTTGGCAACCCACCGTACAACATGTCTATCCAGTTTTGGTCACCACGATGTAAAAAAGATGTTGAGACTCTAGAAAGAGTACAGAGAAGAGCAACAAAGATGATTAGGGGAATGGAGGCTAAAACATATGAGGAACGGTTGCTGGAATTGGGTATGTCTAGTTTAATGAAGAGAAGGACGAGGGGGGACATGATAGCAGTCTTCCAATATCTCAGGGGCTGCCCCAAAGAAGAGGGAGTCAAGCTATTCTCCAAAGCACCTGAAGGCAGGACAAGAAGCAACGGATGGAAACTAATCAAGGAGAGAAGAAATCTAGAACTAAGGAGAAACTTCCTGATAGTTAGAACAATTAACCAGTGGAACAACCTGCCTCCAGAAGCAGTGAATGCTCCAACACTGGAAGTTTTTAAGAAGAGACTGGACAGCCATTTGTCCGAAATGGTATATAGGGTTTCCTGCCTGAGCAGGGGGTTGGACTCGATGACCTCCAAGATCCCTTCCAGCTTTATTATTATTATGGATCATCGCACAGTCAGCCAGATGTTCAGACTGGATTTGGCATTTTGTCTACCTATCGAGTCCTTCCCAAGGACCTGGGATAGGCAGATGTGGATGTTTGATGGTATTACAGATATATTATTATTATTATTATTATTATTATTATTATTATTATTATTATTATTATTATTATTATTATTATAGTTGGTAAAGTGGGGCAAAACTCACTTAACCAATGTCTCACTTAGCAACCAGAAATGTTGGGCTCAATTTTGGTCGTAGGTCAAGGATTTCCCGTACTGATTGAACAGCAGAGAAACAAGCCTGTGTCGTGATTTGGGATGGGTAAAGTTGCAATCACTTTTTTGGGGGGGAAAGATTTCAGTTGAGGCTGGAACAGCCGAGGGTATTTTTTTTACTGCATTCATGAAATTCTTGAATGATAAGAAACTATCAACTGATAAGCGCATAAGGCTGGCGACAGATGGGAGGAACACAATGTGTAGCAATTCAAATTCAGCCAGAACCAGCTTTCCAGAGATAAATCCTCAAGTGTATTGGCCCTTCTGTAGAGCTCTGCTCCTTGTAGGCTCTTAAAGTTATGCCTCGCAATGGGGAAATTGATGGTATCTGGTTCTCACATAGCATCTTCAACAGGAGAAGAACAGAGGCGTCTATTTGTGCATAAATGTTGGCAAAGAGCCACTGAAGGTTTTTGTTTTTTTCAATACATTTTTTATTTTTCAAACAAACAAAATACACAATACACAGTACATTTTCCTTTTTCCTTAACAATACTACGTCCTATATCTCTTACATTCATTAACAATTATTTACATTACTTCTCTTACTTTTTTATTCCTCAATTCTAACCAGCTATAATACATGTCCCATACCTCGTGAGATTCAGTAACTTCTTTGTCTTTCATTTCTAAAGTTAGTTTGTTCATTTCTGCACAGTCTAAAATCTTTCCTATTAATCTTTGCACTTGTTGGTATGCTTTCATTTTTCCAATGTTGCGCATATGTAATACGTGCCGCCGTTATAATATGTATAATGATGTATTGGAGTCGTTTTTCAATTTTGGGATGAATTATACCTAGTAAACATATTTCGGGCTTGAATTCAATTTGTTGTCTTGTTATTTCCAATATCCATCTTCTTATTTGCTCCCAGTAAATTTTTGCTTTGGGGCAGCCACTGAAGGTTTTGAAGTTGTTGGATACGAGGTCGCTTTCCGTTATATACCGTGTCTTCAGCACATTTTGGACTCGTCTGCAGAGTGAAAACTCCGCTTCCAGTTTGTAAAAGAATCAGGAAGGTGTGTTGACAAGGTAGAACTGTTATTTCAAACGGACAACGCACCCCAGTATTTTGTATTTTTATGATCTATTCTAAATGTGGATAGTCCTTGACTCACAGCAACAACTGAACCCTAAAATGATTTTTCTAAGGGTGACGTTTCTTTAAGTGAGTTTTGCCCCATTTTACGTCCTTTCTTGCCACCGTTGTTAAATGAATCGCTGCAGTGATTAAGTTGCTAACCCGGTTGTTAAGTGAAATGGGCTTCCCCGCTGACTTTGCGTGTCAGAAGGTTGCAAAAGGGGATCACACGACCGTATGACCGTCATAAATGTGAATCAGTTGACAAGCCTCTGAATTTTGACCACGTGACCATGGGAATTACTGCTCTGTTCGTAAGGTCATAGGTCACTTTTGTCAGTGTTTGTCACTTTTGTCATTTGTAACTTTGAATGGTCACTAAATGAACGGTTGTAAGCCAAGGGACTCCTTGTACATCGAAAACTATACTAATGGCTTCCTTCTTCTAAGATAGAGTAGAGTAGAGTAGAGTAGAGTAGAGTAGAGTAGAGTAGAGTAGAGTAGAGTAGAGTAGAGTAGAGTAGAGTGGAATGGAATAGAATGGAGTAGAATGGAATAGAGTAGAGTAGAGTGGAATGGAATAGAATGGAGTAGAATGGAGTAGAATGGAATAGAGTAGAGTAGAGTGGAATGGAATAGAATGGAGTAGAATGGAGTAGAATGGAATAGAGTAGAGTAGAGTGGAATGGAATGGAATAGAATAGAATAGAATAGAATAGAATAATAACTTTATTGTCACTTTGAATGTACACCAATCGGTATGCATTAAAATGAAATTTCATTGCATTCAGCAATAAGAATAGGACTCCTTCCGGCATACATCATTTTAATAATATTCATTTTAGTTATTAACTAAGGTATTCATCAGTTTTGTTGTACGCCGCCCAGAGTCACTTGCTTTGTGGCTTTCAGAGATGTAGCTTTGGGAGCTATATAAATTTGGCCAATAAATATATATATCCAGAAACAATACCTACCGTGTTAAGTTCAGCCTAGAAAAAAATTAGGTTGACTCTCTTTAAATCAGATATGTGCAAAGTCAACACCAAAACATGACAACCTGGATTTGTACACTAGGCTAGCCTTGTTGGCTATTTCCTAATATCCACAGTTTAACTAATCACACAGCCGCAGAATCTCTTTGCATCACAATTTCTCTGCAGATTTTTGGACTGAATTTTGAGATTATATATTATAATTATTATATATATATATATATTCTAGGCTTCTGGCCACGCTGCCTGGCGCTTGCCTGCCATCTAGTGGCCGAGGCCAGGTTTGCAGCTCCGCGTCTGGCCAGCCTAATCCAATCCAGGCATTAATTAATGAAATGCATTTAATTAATTGCTTTAATTAACGCTCCTTTTTCGTCCTCTCCCATTCGCAGCCCATCAGATGCGCTCCTCTCCAGCAGGGGATGTTGCCACCGTGCCCGAGCCGCAGAAGCAATCCCACTAGACTGCGGCTATGCCCGGGGCCGACATGGCCGACGGCTCTTCGGCTGCCCGCTTCCAACATGGCCGACCCTCTCTCGCCTTCCCTCCCTCCCAACGAGCGGAAGCCTCCCCAAAACTTCCGCTCGGCGACGGCCATTTGGCGAGCGCCCTCGGAAGGAGCGTCCTTTTGCCTTCACTCAAGATGGCCGCAGGCGCGTCGCTGACCCACTCGCCGGCGCAGACCACGTGAGCCGGAAGAGCCAATGGCAGCGCGGGAAGGACGGACGGCCCTCTCCTGGCAAAGGCGCCACTTCCGGGAGGGCCGCGGCGCCATCGGGAGAAGGACGAGCGGCGTGAGGAGGTGAGTCGGCCGCGGCCAGGCCGCCGCTTCTCCGGCCTCTTGGGAAGCCGTAGGGGGCCTCCAAAGGCGCCGGCCGATAGGAGAGAGAGCGGGGGAAGAGCGGCGGGCCTACCTCGCAGGGCTGTTGTGGGGGGGGTCCCAATGGGGGGGAAGGGGGGTCTAAATTCCCCAAGGACCCCAAGGGTTTCTAGGCTGGAGGAGGGCACAACGGTGTGTGTGTGTGTGTGTGTGTGTGTGTGTGTGTGTGTGTGTGTGTAAAAACCTTCCTTCACCCACCCAGAAGCCTTCTTTCTCAGACTGGCCTACCTGGCAGGGTTGTTGTGGGTGGCAAGCCCCATATTGCTGGAAAGCCAGCAATAAGGAGCCATCAATAGGGGTGGTGGGGTCGGGATAGGGGGGGTTGCTGCCCCCCAGGGCTGCTCAGTGGTGGTGCGGGGGCTTGGGGGGGTGCCCTCCTGCCTCAGTTTCCCTATGTTGAGCCTTAAGCCTCCCTCCCTCCCTCGATAGGTATTGTGGGTTGGAGATATGGGGGTTGCTGCCCCCCCCAAACTTTGGGAGGGGGGGGAAACTCCTGCCTCAGTTTCCCCATCTTAAGCCCAGGCACTTAATGGGGTGGGGAGGGGGGGGAAACTCCTGCCTCAGTTTCCCCATCTGAAGCCCAGGCCCTTAATGGGGTTGGGAGGGGGGGGAAACTCCTGCCTCAGTTTCCCCATCTGAAGCCCAGGCCCTTAATGGGGTTGTAATGGGAAACCACCCCAAATTGGCGAAATAGCCTGGCGCAGGCTCTCTCAAGAGGTCATCTATCCCAACCCTGGTGTCCCATCCTGTTCTTTTTCAGAGCCGGGGGGGGGGGGAAATACGGTGGTTGGTGCCCCCAGGGCTGCTCAGTGATGGAGGGGTTTTTTTTGGGGGGGGGATTGCCCTCCTG